ACTCCAGGAATGGGAGGGGGGGCCCAGGTCTGCGCGGAGCCGAGGACCCTGACAGTACTAATACTATAATGCCTTGATTGTTGTAATTTTAAGTAAGTTTCTAAACCAAGAAGTGAGACCATAACTTTGTTCTTGTTCAGAACTAGTTTGGCTAATTAAAGGTTTGTGAATTCCATATGAACTTTTTTTTTTTCTGTAAAAACAAAAACTGTTGGAGTTTTGTTAGGGATTGTGTTGATTCTTAGGTGACATTATGTAATGTCATATTAAATCTGTTACAAGATTTAATAACAATAAAGAAAGGTGCATTTAATATTTAATAAGACTAGTAGTTGTTCATTGGTGAAAGTAGCACCAGTGATTTATCCACACTGTTAGGTTATTAAAAAGAGGTAGCCGAGTAAGAACAGCACCAGCACACACATGGTATTCAGGTAAGGGGTAGGTTTATTCAGTAGACCTGCTGTGACCAGGCAAGGTTGGCACTCCACGTGGCTGGGAAAGGCCTGGGAATGAGAGAGAGCTGGGAAAGAGAGGAAAGAGAGGGAAAGAGCTAGAGTAGAGAGAAAGCAGAGAGAGCTAGAAAATAACAAGAGGGCGTCTGGGCATGCACTAGGCCTTATCTAGGGTATGGGCGGAGAAGGGTGTGACCACATCAAATTCAGGTGTGACCTCAGCCGAGGCAGATGTGACCTCTTCCAGGTTTCCCAGTTGTCTAGGTAACGCAGGTAACTGGGTGGAGACTTTGCTGCGAGGAGGGTGGAGTCTGCTGGCCATCCAGGAGCGGACCTTACACATAGTCACTTTTGGAGCAGAATTTAGTCAAAGGCATTGGAGTAAACTTATCCTTATTTCTCATTTTTCTTAAAACACTCCATGATTGGAGGTGCATTTTTTAGCCACCCAAGATATTGTTTACTTGTCTAATTTCTGAAATTTCTTAAATAATGGTTTTAGAAATTTAAGTGATACAAACTTTCAGCTGTTGTTAGGAATGAAATGTTATTTTAATTTAATTAAGTGCTTTTCTTTCTTCCTGAAAGCCCCTTGGATTCCTTTAATTTTCTTTGTGGAAATCACTTCAGTTCTGTGTTTTTCCTGTGGAAATTCTAGTGTAGTGTCTTATTAGCTGCTACATGGCTTCTGCAAGAAGGTATATAATAATCTTGATTCTTGCATCAGGAAATTTATTGTTGCCATTAATTTATTGTGTAAGTAGCAGTTATGTCTGCTATTGCCTTTGAAAACTTGTAGTTTTCATTTGTGGTGTATGCGTGTGTGCGTGCGTGTGTGTGTGTGTGTGTGTGTGTGTGTGTATTTGTGTGTGAGTGCGTGCTTGTGGACTGTTACTGAGGCTTGAACCCAGGGACTCATATTCTTTTTTTTTGGGGGGGGGTGACTCATATTCTTACTTGGCTGGCACTCTATCACTTGAGCCACATCTTCATTTTTGGTTTATTGCTGGTTAGAGATAATTGTCACAGATTTTTCTTACCAGGCTGACTTTAAACCTCCATCCTCAGATCTCAGCCCCTTAAATCTCAGCTAGGATTACAGTCATTAGTTACCAGCACCTGAATCTTTTGTGACTTTTGATTGAAAGATAAGAAACTGTTATTTACTAGAATATTGATCACTTCGTATAGAGCATTTCATGTGCACCTGGGATTCTCTTCTGCTTTCCCCTGCATTACCTACCTATAACTTCCTGAAATGTCTGAACATTATTCTTGTTAGTTTTGTTTTATGATTTACTATGAGAATGTGTAAATGCCATTTGGAAATCTGAAGATTTCACTTTAGTCCTTCCTACTAAAGGACCGAAAATATCAAATAGGATTGATCCTTGGATACCTTTATCTCCTTTGACTCTGACATTTCAAATTTCAAGAATTATATTCATTTCCTTACTTATGTAACTGTAACCCTGTCTACATCACCTTTACGATAAAAAAATAACATGTTATAAAACCAATAAAATATATCTACTTATTTTCAGTTATTGTATACAACTGGGTCAAATATTTTTTAAACTACACAATTATACTTTCAAAGAATCAGGAGAAACAAAGTAATGTGTGGACTTCATGGGTTTCCAGCTGATTCTTTCTTGCTTAGTCTGTCCCTTCATACCTCACAGCTTCTGATTTGTAAGCTAACTGTAAGTCACCTCTGCTAGAGCCCTTACACCTGACTGTATTCAGCCAACACTCTGCCTCCTCTGAAGGCTGTTCTTTTTCTAGGTTCTTGTCTGTATTTGAAAAAAGATTTTTGTGTCATTAACATGTATTGTGAATACATTTGCCCTCCCTACTTGGTGTGTTCAACAGTGTCAGACCAACTGACACATAAGACAGGTTGCATTTTCCTCTGTGCACTTGTGATGATGTATACAGGCTTGAGAGGCATGATGGCCACAAAGTCTGTTTCTACTGTAGCTTCCTTCCCAAAATATACCCAAGGGAATCTTTTTTACAACATCTTAGGAAATGTAAATTTTCAGCCCAAAAGTAACAGTATTGATATAGTACAATGCATGACTTACTAAGTTCTGTTGAGTAATGTTTAATTGGTAAGAGGATTTATGGGAGTTGGTACAATATTTAAGTATAAAAGAAATGGCTATCATATAGTTTATGTATATTGTTGAAATTTGTTACTTACTTGGTTCTTAAAATTTATGAACAACTGTCTTGGAACATATTTTAAGTTTTGATCATGTATAGGATCATTGTATACATAATTAAAATTTGTGATTTTTTTCTTTTTCTTTTTCTTTTTTTTTTTTTTGTGAGTGGTGGAGCTTGAACTCTGGGCCAGGTCTCTGCCCCTCAGCTCTATAGCTCAAGGTTAGCTCTCTACCACTTGAGCCACAGCGCCACTTCTGGTTTTCTGGTGGTTTATTGAAGATAAGAGTCTCATGGACTTCCCTGCCCAGGCTGGCTTTGAACGGTGATGCTCGGATCTCAGCCTCCTTAGTAGCTAGGATTACGGGTGTGAGCCATGGCGCCCAGCTGATTTTTTTTTTTATTACTTGTTGAAATCATAGCCATTCAGTTATTGTGTTCATAAACTTGCCTGGGTATATAATTAAGGTAAGATAGGACCTAGTTTCCTGGTTGTGTGTGTGTATGGGCACATTAGTGTGTTGCATTGCTGATGATTAAATCAGGATTTTGTTAATTTATTTAGTAATAAACCTTCAGTGTGTAATATATATTTTAAATAGATGGTGAAAACATGAAACCTATTGTACTTTACAAACACATTGAGACTGCTTTTTTTTGGGGGGGGGGGTCCAGGCGTGGGGCCTGAACTCTGGTCCTGGGCGCTGTTCCTCAGCTCTTCAGCTCAAGGCTAGCATTCTACTACTTGAGCCACAGCACCACTTCTGGCTTTTTTCTTTTTTGCTTATGTGGTGCTGAGGAATCGAACCCAGAGCTTCATGCATGCAAGGCAAGCGCTCTACCACTGAGCCACCTTCCCAGCCTGAGACTGCTTTTAAGTTTGTAGTTTATCATTACCAGCGCACTGGTGGCTCATGCCTGTAATTCCAGCTACTCAGGAGGCTGAGATCTGAGGATCACGGTTTCAAAACCTGGACCGGAAAGTCTGTGAAGCTCTTATCTCCAATAAACCACCAGAAAACCGGAAGTGGTGTTGTAGCTCAAGTGATAGAGTGCTAGCCTTATGCAGAAAAGCTGAGGGACAGTGCTCAGGCCCAGAGTTAAAGCCCCATGACTTACAAGAAAAAAAAAAGTTCAGATCATGGGCTAGACTGTGACTCAGTTGGCAGAACACCTGAGTCCTAACCTCAGCTCTGACAAAAATTCAGATCATTTTATTGTACAAGAAAGATTGTGAGCAAGAAGATGAGTTTATTTTGCCTTTCTTGGCAGATTTTTTCACTTTTATCTGTATTTTACTCTGATATGTACATTTGTGAGAATATGTGTGTCTGAATGTGTATGTGTTTTGAAATTATTTTTCAAATATTTTATACATAATTCTGACTTTGCTATTCATATAAATTTATGTGTGAAAAGACTTAATTTATGATCTAGCATAAACTGATAGTTTCATAAGTGAATAAAGGTTGGCAAATGAAGTGGTTAAGGTGGTTTGCTAGAGATCACAATTGATAGGATGAGAGAATGTTGACTTTCTTGTTTTCTTTCTCTTATATTGGCTCCTCTTTAAAAAAAAAAAATTCCTTGGTTCCTAGCCTGTTTACAACCAGAAGACAATGGAGTTACAAAATGGGTATGAATATCCATAGAAGGCACTCAAAATGCATAATGAACTTGGGAAAATGGTTCTCCATAAAAATAGTGCCTTAGAAGATTTCTTTAAAAAGATAATTCACCAAAATTTGTTCTTTCTTTTCTTTTTTTCTGCTGTTTTCCTGGTGGGAAAAGGAGACCTTTGGAGTAGTGAATGAGTTAATAAAGATATTTCATGGAACAGAAAAAGGACAAGCAGTTCTAAGTTGGAGATCTTTTCCTTAAAATGTTTAAATAAACTGATTTGAAAATTTAGAAAAATAAACACACTTTTTAGGTAAAATACATACTCTGAACTTGAGCAAGTTAATTTAGAAAGGAGAACTACTTGACTATTGTACTTGTTTTGATCATTTTAATAGTTTTCAATCGAGTCATTTTGCATCCTTGGAATATTCTGGAACTCACCTGAGAAGTATTTAACAACCCAGTAGAAAACACAGTTGTACTAGTTGTTTTTCATTTACATTATTAAATTTGAAAACTTTATGTCAGAAGTCTCCAGCAAACACATGACTGAAACTGAAGAATTTGAGTACTTCCTTACTATCCTGTGTTAGAACGACTAAAGATAGTTCTTTCTGTCCAGAATATACTGTTTGTAGTTGTGGTTAATTTTTTTTAAATCTGAAGGGTAGGCTTAAATTTAGTGTTGATATTTCTTAAATTGCTAGGATGTTCTTAGCTGAGTTTTTTTTTCCCCCTCTCCCTTTCTAGTTTTGGCAAGCGTTCTGCTGGAAGCTTCAGACGTGGTTGTGAGTGCATTGTTTTAGAGCCTTCTGAAATGATTGTGGTAAGACTTTTATGAGAACCTTTTCTTCCTAAAAAAGTTTTATGAAATAGTACTTCTACAAATACTTATCATGATATATTTTTATAACATTTTTAAAAATAAATTTTGCTGTGAATTTTATACTTAAAATTGTTTACAGGTCAGTTAAATGTAAAAGTTGGAAGAAGGACAAAAGTATAGTGTTTGAACTTTGTAATTCAATCTGTATTAACGTGTTTAAGTGATGTTTGGGAAAGACTTTTTTTGTTGTTGTTGGTTATGGGGCTAGAACTCTGGGCCTGGACACTGTCTCTTAGCTCTTCAGCTCAAGACTAGCACTCTACCACCTAAGCCACAGAGCCACTTCCGGTTTTGAGTGGTTTATTGGAGATAAGAATCTCATGGGCTTTCCTGCCTGAGCTCCCTTTGAACCTCAGTCCTCAGATCTCAGCCTCCTGAGTAACCAGGACAGGCATGAGCCACCAGTGCCCAGCTTGGAAGGCCTTTTTAATCACAAGGGTTTTAGCTCTCTGGGTGTTGATTGGAATGAATGAGTTACTTTAAATAAACCAAGGCGGTGAAATCCAAGGAACAATTAACAGGAGAAAAATACATGACTTTTTTCCTTTAATGATTAAAAGAAAATAAAGAGACCACTACTGTGTTAATTAAACACTCTTCACTTCTCATTTGTGTGAGAAGCACACATAAAAATATTAAAATATAAAATAAAGGATACATTATGCTAAATGTCAAAATAGATAAAACAGTTAAGTTCTAGTAAAATAATCCCATCATATAGCCTCCTTACTGTGTAACAATGGTTTTTAAGGGAGGACAATAGATATCCTTTAAAAAACAAAGCAAGCTGAGTGCCTGTATAATCTAGCTGTTTCAGACATTGAGCTCTAAGGATTGCATTTAGAAGCCAGCCAGACTGTAAAGTCGGTGAGACTGTTACCTCCTTTAACTAACAAAAAGCCAGATGTGGGGGCTGGGAAGGTGGCTCAGTGGTAGAGCGCTTGCCTTGCATGCCTGAGGCCCTGGGTTCAATTCCTCAGCACCACATAAGCAAAAAAGAAAAAGCCGGAAGTGGCGCTGTGGCTCAAGTGGTAGAGCGCTAGCCTTGAGCTGAAGAGCTGAGGGACAGCGCCCAGGCCCAGAATTCAGGCCCCACGACCATACCCCACCCCCCAAAAAAAAAGCCACATGTAGAGTTGTAGTTCAAGAGGTAAAGCATCAGGCTTGAGCAAAAAAGGTTTAGGGACTGCAACCAGGCCCTAAGCTCAAGCACCAGTACCAGCACAAAAAGAAAAAGAAAGTCAGTAACAAAAATGAGATGGGAGGGGGCTCCCTTCCAAGACATTCAGTTGTTATTGACACCCTGTCCCTCCATAAAGAGCTGATGATAGAAGCTTTTCAATTCATATTTGATAAGTGTTTGGTAAGCAACTCAGAGTCTGTTTTACAATAAGATTTTGGGTTTTCCCTGTAATGTAGGAGAGGAATTCTATCAGCAGTTAAGAACTTCCTTATCAAAGCTGATGAAAACTTTCAGCCAAATTTCACAAAATTTTCTTTTAACTGCAAGCAAGTGATGAGTAAAGATTTACAAGTGGGAAATACGGGTAGATGAACCAAATTTTCCAGTGGTGGGGTTTGTTAAAGCACATATTTCCTTGAAATTTGTCCTTAGTGGTTTTTAAAAAAAATTCTCTGAGGATTTTTGATCTTTGAAATTGCTCAAGTCTCACAATGAATGGTCTTGGAGAGCAAACATGCCTCCCACTGAGCTGTCACCTTTGCTATATGTGCCTACAATAGCAATGATGAGTGAACAGGCATGACTTATGTTCCCCGTTAATCTATTCCATCAGACTTTCTAAAATGTTTAAAATGAGAAATTGCTGAAGTCACATAATGAAAGGAGGAAGAGCAGCTCATGGCTGCTGACATGGCTCTGTGGTAGTAATGGTTGACTTAACAGATTTAGGGGTATATTTTACAGACTTACTTACACCCGACTTTTTTGTGTTTTTGGTTAAGTCGATGCAGCAGTTGCTTTTGTAAAATGTGATAATATGTTCTGTGTGATCTTTCACTAATAAATCAGTACAAAAAATACAGAAAATATCCTTCCCTTTGAAATAACAGGAAATTCAAGAGTAACCCGTATTGTCCTAAGTGGAATTGAAAATGCTTCTTCGAAACAAAAGAAAAGTGACTCAGAGCCAGTTAGTTTCAGAGAACTTCAAACACAGTTAAAAGGGTGTTTCCATAGTTTGTCTACAAATGTCTATGCAAAATGAGTGGGAGCTGTCTGTAAGTTTCTTTTTTGTATCTAATATTAGAGTGAATGTTACCTTTGGAGACATGACATGCTTAGGGTTGTATTTCAGGTAGACTATATGGATGAAAATGAAGAATATTTTCAGAGGCAAGCCTCTCACAGACAGTCCCGAAGAAGATTTAGAAAAATCAACCAGAAAGGCGAGCGACAAACAATTATTGACACTGTTGATCCTTACCCTGTGGGCAAACCTGCTTTGCCTAGGGGCTATCACACGGTAAGGTGCACAGTCAAAATGTACTATATTTGTCTTAGTGTTTGTAAAAATGCATTTAAGCTTTCCATTTTAAAGAAATAACTGTTTTCTGTGGTACACTGATTCAAAATATTGATTTTTTTTCTGGGAACACGTGATAGGAAGTGTTTATAAAGCATTGAAATATTGTCTACTGCTTTACAGAGCACGAGAATACTTTGTGACCTGTTCATTCACACTGACAGTTCACACGTGACAAGCATATATAACATTTGAGTTTCTGTATTGGACTGTGGCCCAACATTTTAGTTAACTCCTATGTATTCTCTCCCTCATAACTATCATCATATCTTATCTATATTTTAAAAGGAGATATATAAAAATTTCATTAGTTCCATACTTTTAAATATTGTTCTTTTTTTTAGAAGAAGTCTCAGTGTGAACACACGGAAATATTTCTGATAGGTTCAAAGATCTTTTTAAATGTCATGGTGTACTTGACTATCCTTTATTTCCTAATATTAGATAAGTAAACTGCTTTTTCTATGTTTGAGAAAACTAAGACTCATGAGTGCTTTGTATAAGAGTTTTTAGGAAACACTTTACCTGTGCATATAGTACTATTAAATGGTTTTATATAAAATTAATTTTAAAATAAAAATGAAAAGTATAGGCAGGTAGTTGACAGCTGTTACATATTATTGTTCTTTTTCTTTTTCTGCAGCTACAAATGTAGAGTACATGGAAAATGTGTATAGATTTATTTACTCAAGTTTTAGTAATGTTAAGTATTATACTTCATATATACTTGAAATATTCTGTTTATCAGAGAGCTCTGATTGTATTTGAATTATGTGGGTTTTTTTTTTTTCCTATTTTTTAAAGTTTTTTGGTTGGGGCCTGAATTCTGGGCCTTGGTGCTGTCCCTCAGATCTTCAGCTCAAAACTAGTGTTGTACCACTTGAGCCACAGCTTTTTCTGCTTATGTGGTGCTGAGGAATCAAACCTGGGGCCTTATGCATGCAAGGCAAGAACTCTTTCAGTGAGCTCCTTGCCTCGAATTATGTTGTTTTTCACCACTGCCAAACCCACCGCACTCCTACTGCCCGTGCATCATTTTAATTTCATATCTATTTCATACTTGAATCATTTCATTGAGCTCATTTGGAAAAGCTTGCTTTTGGTTCATCTCAAAGACTGCTTTGTTGATCTCTGGAGAGACTTGGTATTAAAAAAAAGAGAAAGAAAAATGAAAGATTTTTCATTACCATTGTCAATAAAGGAAGTAACATTTTTAGTGTTAACAGCATTATGAAAGCAAGAAAAACTAGTAAAAATACTTGTTTATATTAATAGTACAGTATATAGACTGTAATATTTTTACTTACTACTAACAATGGTAATGTTCTTTCTGCTTTGGAATTCTTTTTTTCCGGATTAGTTTCTAAACTTAAAGTAGGTGTGGGTTATCCAAACCCTAGTGTGAGAGTTGATTGTTCTATGTTAGGTCCCTTTTAAGTTGGGAGGGTCATTTTATAGTGCATTTCTCTCTCCCACCCCACCTTTCCCTTTATGGAGTACATTCACTCTCTCTTCTCTAATGACTTCTCTTTCTTAGACTGTTTTAAAAAAGTTTTTGTATTGCTAGAAAATATTTTTAGTAACTTGTGCCAATTGTCTCACATTAGACATATAATCCTAGCTACTCAGGATGCTGAAATATAAGTACTGAAGTTCAAAGCCAGCCTGGGCAGACAAATGCCAGACTCTTATCTCCACTTAACAATCAGAAAGCTAGAAGTGGAGCTGTGGCTCAAGTGGTGGAGTGGCAACATTGTGAAAGTGTGAAGCCTTGGGTTTAAGATCCACTACTGGCACAAAAAAACAAAAACAAAATTTTTAGTGTTTTTAAGAGTGTATTATCTGGTCAACAGACACTTTTAGAACTAATTCAACACTAAGGTAAAACATTTAACCTGACTTCTAATAGATCATGTGATAGTACTAATATATGATATTAGTATTAATTTTACTAAATGGGATTGACTATAACAAGGTCAGAATTCAGAGTATTGCATCAGTTTTGGGAGTACAAATTATATTTTAATTATTTTTGTATCTTATTTACTTAGCTAACTCTATAAATGTAGAAAAACAATTATATTTTATTTATTTATTTGCTTCAACACAGGAAAAAGAATTAAGTGAAAATTATTATGCTTCATTAGTCCTACCTTGTATTTTCTTAACAGAAATATATCCTTTGAAAGGCATTGGCTAACAGGATGGAGCTGTTGGGTGAAAGCTCACATAATTGCATGAGCAAACTTGAGATGCAGTAGGGTACTTGCCAGGCATTTCAAGCGCATGGCTAAAGACCATGGATGTTGCACATTGCAGCCAAGTCTATATTGTCATTCTTTAACCTATGTTTAACATTATCTTCATTTTGGCAGGTGTAATATAGCATGTCTGATAATGTTCCTCTTTTCCTTTCCTCCTTTATGGCACTCATTCATTCTGGCTCAAAGGAATGCACTAAACCTCAGGTATTGTAACATGTGTAGTTGCCTAACCTAAGTTGATTTATGAATTTTCAATGTAACTAATAACTTTATAATATTGGTGTGTTTTGCTTTGTCTTGTCCTTTTTTTCTGAGTTCTGATTTGTTCTGGTTTAATGAGATCTATTAAAGTTGGGATTCAGTGGTTTAGAAGGTATCATGGGTGCTCTGTTTTTATTGAACTGTTTTTACTGATGTCTCTGGGCAAGCTGTTTATTTTTAAGAATGAGTGGAGCTCTGTTCTTCACTACTGCTTTCTAGATAGAGAAATTAAAAAAAACTGACAAAAACACAGACAGGAACTCTGCTGCTCATTGTGTGAAAGCTGATACAGGAAATTCATTAGAAACTTATATTGGAAGTTCTGTGGATGACATGTTTTAGGAATTCCAATGTGAGGGCATTTGGGGAGGCAGATTTTTAAAAGGCTTAGTCAAAAAAAAGAAACAAAAAATTCTGAGATCTCAGACTCCTGAGTAGCTTGAAGTAAACATGTGAGCCATCAATGCCAGGGGAAAGTAAGAATTTTTAAATACTGTGAGAAGTTCGGAGGTGGCCTTTCTTAGCATTTTCTTCCATTTTGGTAAGTGGAGGTTGGGGCTGAATTTCAGAAGAAGGGGATGGGAGGTGATATGTGTTTGCAGTCCTTGTAGGTTACAGAGGTCAGGTTTCTAGCAGAGAATGGAAGATACCTGTTTAATGCTCAAGGAAGCTGAGTTGGGACTTGAGCAGACAGCTTTATCTCATCTCTAGCTCAAAGAAGGGTAGGAAAGAATTACTCTTTCTATACCAGAGCCTCTCTGCATTTGTAATTTTCTGTTGAAGTTGTTGTGAGAGGGAGATAGTAGTTTCAAGATGGAAATGGAGATGACAGGCATAGAACTGAAGGGGAAAGAACTTGGAGCTTCATATTCCTTCTACCATCACCCCCCTCCCCTTTTTTTTTCTTTGTCACAGGGCTTGAACTGAGGACACTATCCCTGAGTTCTTTTGCTCAAGGCTAGAGCCATAGCCCTACTTCTGGATTTCTGGTGGTTCATTGGAGATAAGAGTCTCATGGATTTTCTTGACCAAGCTGTCTTTGAAATGAAATGAGATCCTTAGAACTCAGCCTCCTTAGTAGCTAGGATTACAGCTGTGATCCAACAGCCTAGCCACTCTTCCTATGAAGAAAACAATTCTTCTCTCTTTGGAAAAGCAAAAATTGTACAGAGAGATATTAAATTGGAGACTGAAGAAAAATTTGCCCTGCTCCACTTGGTTAGGTTGGAAGTTAGAAGTTTTAATTAAAAAATTCCCATCCATCAGTGCAAAATTTTTGAAATAATGAAAATGAAAATGACTAGCCATATAAAAAGTTACTTTTCACTCACTCTAATAGTTGTCCTTTCCTACAATGGAAATACAGATGAAATATATAGGTTTAAAGTTCTTGATTGGGCCTGACATGGTTGTGTTCTGTGATCCAGCAGTTCAAGAGGCTGAAATGGAGGATTATGAGTTATAGGCTAGACTACATAAAAGAGAGATCTTGGAGTAGTACAGGAGTAATTAGAAAATATTACATGTGAAAGTAATACAAATTGAAAGCTGATCATAGTGGCTCATACCAATAATCATAGTTACTACAAAGGCTGAAATTGAGAGGAGTGTGATTTGCAGCCAGCCCAAGGAAAATGTTGATGAGTTTCCATCTCAACCAATAAAACTTTGGGTACAGCTGGATGCTGGTGGTTTACCTCTGTAATCCTAGCTACTCAAGAGGCTGACATCTGAAGATTAAGGTTCAAAGCTAGCTTGGGCAGGAATTATCTACAAAATGCCAGAAATGGAGCTGTGGCTCAAGTGGTGGATCACTATCCTTGAGCAAACAGGCTTAGAAACGATGCCCATGCCCTGAGTTCAAGCCTTAGGACTGGCGGGCGTGTGTGTGTGTGTGTGTGTGTGTGTGTGTGTGCGCGTGCGCGTGTGCGTGTGAGCAGGTGTGCACGTGCACGCTAGGAGGTCGCAGGCTATTTAAAAAATACTGAAAGCTAAAAGAACTCTGACTGTTGATCAAGTGTCAAGAATTCCTGCCTAGCAAGCACAAGGCCCTGAGTTCAAACCCTAGTACAACCAAAATAGATAAATAATAGTAATATAAATTTAATATAATGTAATACTATAGTAACAATTTTTTGTTGTCAGTATCCATAAAATGTGGCATCAGTGTATTAAGAATGATTCATGTGTAAGCTGGGCATGGTGGCAAATTACTGAAATCTCTTCTGCAATTCCAGAACTTAGGAAGTTAGGGCTGGAAGAGGATAATAAGCTCAAGGCCTTCCTAGCTACAGAGAAAGTTCAAGGCCAGTCCAGGCTGTATGTTGGAACTCTGCCTAAAATGAATGAATGAATGAATGAATTTGTGAGCAAATAAGTGAGTACGCAAGCTGTTGGAGATAGGTCTATTTCATAAAATGTAAAACAAATTCTATTTCTTAAAATAGCTATTTTACTCTTGCTATGATATATCTTAAGAATCTCTTAGGTAGATTTATTTTTTATAGTTTTTTTTTAGGTTTTCCATTTTTAAGACATTAAACTTAACTTTTAACTGATAAGTAAAAACCCAGAAGTGGCATATATTTATGGCATATCTTGTGTTGTTTCAAAGCATGTATACATTGTGTATTTAAATTTGGGGAAGCATTTATTTTCTTATATATATCATTTCTCTTTTTCCCTTTTTTCTTTTCTCTTTCCCCTTCTTCCTCTTCTTCTTTCTTCTTCCCCTTCCTCTTCTCTTTTCCCTTTTCTTTCCTTCCCTTTCACTTTCCTTTCTCCAGTCCTGGTGCTTGAACTCAGAGCCTGGGCACTGTCCCTGAGTTTCTTTTGCTCGAGGCTAGCACTTTACCACTTACGCCACAGCACCATTTCTGCCTTTTTTGTTTATGTGGTATTGAGGAATTGAACCCAGGGCTTCATGCATGCTAGGCAAGCACTCTTACCAGTAAGCCATATTCCCAGCCCCTTATGTAAAATTTCTTTCTTTCTTTTTTTTTTATTGTGAAAATACTGTACAGAGGGGCTACAATTACATGGGCAAGGTAATGAATACATTTCTTATCAAGCATTGTTGCCTCCTCTTTTGTTTCCCCTATGTATCATTTCTTATGAATGTTTTTGTTTTTTGTGTAGATAGATTTAAGTTGTTTTTTCTTCAGTTAAGGATTTCTAGGTAGGTTTGGTTAGTGTCAAAAATGGTTTAGTTATTGAGATGATTGAAAACATTTATGTTCAGTTTCTGGGGTATTTGACACTGGACTTTTTGATTTGAGCTTAAATTACAAATAGGCTTTACATTTGCTCATGTCATGACTTTGCTTTGTCACTTACTATTTACTTTTTTATGTCTATATTTTAATTTGGCATTTGCTACTTAGCAGTAAGATGTATTAGCATGAAGTATTAATATAGATTTGTATGTCCACTGACTTTCCTAGACTACTAAGCAGTTAATTTGTGACTAGTTTATTCCTACTTTTAAATGTTTTTATGCATATAAGAAGTTATTCAAATACAGAATTTTTATATCTGTTTTCTTTTAGAATTTAAGCTCATCAGGCACATGTGCTTAGTTGAATCTGAGACATTTGTCTGTAATGCTGTAATGCCTCTAAATTACAGTTATTGTAAATTCAAAACATATTTCTTGTGTCTTGTATTGCTTAGCGAAAGCTCAGTGTTTTAATTTATATATTTTAAATCATTTAACAAGTATTTATTGGGTACCCACCATTTTTTCAGGTCTGTGCTAGATGCTAATGAATTAAAGCAGAATCTTGCCTCTATTGACTGCTAGTCTCACAGAGAGAACAGGAAGGTCCCACTGTGCATTGGGCACCTTGGGAAATAGAGATGCCTCCTCAATGATCTTAATATTTGAGCACCAGGAGAAACATTTGGTACAGAAAGAACTCCCAATTTTTTTCAAAGACATAGAGGTTGAAGGCTAACAAGTAATTGGACCTTGGAAGCTATGTTGAAAGTTGTAAGGACCATGTGGAACATCAGTGAGAATGAAACAGAGCTGTGATGTGCTGAGGGCCACACTTGATAGCTATATGGGGCTCTAAGGTAGATCTCTGGGTGAGAATGTCAAAATGGAACTTAGAAAGGCCTGTGTAAGAGTAATGGAGATGGCAACAACAATTTGAGAGTTGGAGTAAGATTTAAGGACAGAGGGTTTATGTGGTAGTCCCGGAAGAAGAAAGTAGCAGTGATTATTTCAAAATTTAAATGTGGCCAGGCATCAGGCTCATGCCTGTAATCCTAGCTACTCAGGAGGCTGAGATCTGAGGATCTGTTTGAGATCCTCTCTTTTCTGCTTGGGCAGAAAAGTCCATACGACTCTTTCCTCAATTAACGAGTAAAAAACAAGAAGTAGAGGCTTGCTTCATGTTGTAGAGTGCCAGCCTTGAGTGAAAAAGCTCAGGGACAGTGCCCTGGCCCTGATTTTAAACCCCAGTACTGGCATAACAACAAAAAGTGAGTAACTCTAATAGATTCATTTTTGGTGCTTTACTCTGTGACAATGCTTTCTGTCCCAGTAGTGTTTCTTGCCTTATTGTACATGAACACTAATGCTGAGCAAGAGTTAGAAGCAGGTGATTGTTTAATCCAGAAATGCTCAATGGAAATTTGAAAGCAAATTCTGGAATAAGAATATGAAAAAGGGAGTGTGGAGAGTATTAGGAGTAATGCATACACCTCCCCCCAAGATTTTGTTATGTACAGTGTGTATATATACATCCTGATCATTTACATTTGCATCAGACAGCCTTTTAGAGAGGTGTCAAAAGTATGTTTTGCTCTCCAGGTTCAGTATCAGCCAGTTCACTGGTTCCTGTTTCCTAGATTATGTTACACTTTAAAATCCTGCAGAGAGCTCCTTGTGGAAAGGTCTCTGAACAATAGGTAGACAGAACAATGCTCTGCCGGAG